ATATATATATGTTTTCTGAAACAGCATTTTGTTCTTTGCTATATTAGAACACACAATAATTCCATGATGACATCTTTGCCCCAACTACATAAAAACTTACACTCTTCCACCGGTTTTGACTGCTTCTTTTCCAGTAGATGCCATCTCTGATCAATGGCACTGTCAATGTAAGTGGAAGGTCAGTGGGGAGTGTCTCCAAGAGCAGACACTGGTCCTCTTCTGACAACTCTCCAAGAACACGCTTCTCTGTGAATAATAAAATATACAACAGTGTTGTATACGGTGAAATGGAATTAGAAACAGCAACATGAATATAATTCCTTGAAACTGTTTTTTACCAGGTTTATGACTGGCTATAAAGAGTAATGACACTACAGATTGACGGTATTACTTATAGTAGTGAATGAGATGATAAGGTGCTCATGTGACATGGATTTGGAATTAAGGAAATTGTGCTTATTTGAGGACACTACTCTAGAAAATGCCTGCAATGAATGAGGAAATCATATATGGCCATCAGCTGATGCTCTGGCTGAGGCTCAAATACACATTCTGAATACAAGTCAGAGGCATTATAGCTTGGGCCAGCTAGCTCGATTTCTTGAGGTCTTCTGTCAAAAGAAGGGTAATAGATCTGTGTGGTGTCCATATTGCAAAACGGTATAGTAGGCAACATAATAATAATTACATACTTTTAAAAATACCCAACTAGTAGTGAAGTACAGACCACATCAATGTCATTTAAACCTGAAAATAGCTGCTTAGAATCTAACATTCTTATTACAAAGCAAAACTTGGTTTTCATAACACTGAAGCATATTAGATGTTCTTTCTTCTACAATGTTTCCCATCTTAAAGGAGAACCCAAATGTACAAAAATTAAAAGTCAAAAGTTTGAAATGACACAAATATGGAACAATACTGAGTAGGACAACTGTTTATTTACATTTTCTGCTCCAAATTATCTCAACAACCCCTTTAAGTTTAATCACAGTATTCATGAAAATATACCACAGTCAGGGGTAGCCAACATTTAATTGTTGATGGATAACTAGGATAAGCAGGTAATTTATAGGGGATTTTATGAATCGATGAAGAAAAAAATAATTAAAATTATTACATTACAGCTTTGTATTTTACATTCTCACATCAAGACATCTTCAAAAACAGTTTTGCCTCACTTTCTCACAACATTTCCCTGAAAATACCACCGCTATTTACATCTGACCCCATCAATTAATCTGACACACAGTTTAATCATTTTAAACTCCTAGGTACTGGCCAGAGATTATGTTCAAAAGTGAAAATTAACATATCATCATCAAACAAATAATTACTTATTGTGATTATTTTAAAATTCTCACAGGCACCCAAAAACCATTCCAAGTGCACTGAAGTGCCTACAGGCATAAGATTGGCAATGATTCAGTGCATGTACACATTACCTTGAAAATGGGATGCAAGACTCTTGACACACAGCGTGGCCAGTGTTGAAGGAATCTCTTTATCCCATGTGACATCTTCTGCCCGAAGTGTGCGATTTACTTCACCTGGGAGATTCTGTGTCTGTTCGGAGGATTGATATACTAGAGAGGTGTTGTGTGGAATTGTGTGAGGGACACGCATATTCACACAAACTTGCGACCCTAAAAGGAATACTCCTGTATTAAGTACCTAAACTTGAAGCATTTGCTCATATTTTGAAACAACGCTAAATTTTAAATATTAGTATTTATTGCACAGAGTACCAAGACTGTCACATATGTTAAGACATTTATTACAACATTATAAGCCGCGTATGAACACAGTTTCGTAAAACTATTAGATACAGAAATATTGAATACAACCATGAGGAAATTCAATCACCAATGGAGGATGCAAAATTGTTCCCCTTCCCCTCTCACTTCATTAAAGCAATGAATCCTTACAAAAATGGGAGAGTTAATGTTTATAGAAGGTACAACTAGCAGTACTGTACCAAGTGTCCTTATCTATGTATGTACTGCATGAAGAGCAGTAAAGCAAGTGTCATGTAACTTTGAACAAGGCCAAGAGTAACCTTGAATGCGCAGAAGAAAAATTTCAGACAAGGGGGTGGGTTCAAGGGCGTGAGAAGTGACAGGCGGCCAGT